AGACTTTTATTGTAACGGCCCTTGCCCGTATATTGCATGGGCTCATTTGCGGCGTCGTATACGAATGCGGTACTACAAAAAAAAAACAAAAATCATAAGTTCAAAGCGAGCTTAAAAGCAATCGCACATATAATCCTTATCACTTGTCTTACCCAGTCGTCGTCGTCGTTGTATTCGTGTTAGGTAAGGCGCCGCTATTCCCATTTGTCGCAAATTGTTTGGCGCGAGCTGCATTGCCGCCATTTTTGCGAAGTATAGAAGTATCAGTAAATGCAATGAGTGGCATGGCCAGTTTGTCCAACATATCCGTTGCAGCCAAACGTGCCGGCTTAACGCCATTGACAATTTGATTGGCATTCGTTGTTGTTTTTATTATTGTTGCACTTGCCTTAACAGTCGATTTGGAAGCCTTGGAAGTGGAAGAACTCGTTGCTGTTGATGACCTTGAAGTGTCCGATGATGTAGTTGATTTTATCGACGACAACGTTGATGACGACGAGGCAGCGGCACGTCGTGTAATTTTTGCCATCTCTAAATAGACATTTTCTGGAAAAAGAAAGTGGAAAATATAAGAGATTTTTCTTAGTCAATATATAGCATGATTCATGATTATTATGGAGTTCATAAAATCTTCGAGAGTTTAATTGAAAATAGTATTCAAAATAGGCAATTATTTAACATTTCAAAGGTGTCCGGAAAGATTAATTTTAAATTTATTTTCTAGCCAGAATGAAATTTAGGGGGGGAGGGGCTCGACCCTATTAAGCTGGCATTTCAGGGTACTATTTTATATATATATAAGGAAAATTTTAAAGTTAGGGGGGCGGCTCGGTTCTCTCTTTTATCTCCAATTATCTCTTCTTCTTATATCTAAGTATCGATATTTTAGTATGAATAGATAGGGGCCTGATGCCAGTAGTCTCCGGTGAGCATTTTCGGGCTAGAGTTAGCTTGTTTTATTTGGGTTTAGTCGAAAAGATCCTGTTTTGCTTCTCGCTTTTTTTTATTAAAATCGTTTTAAGGTTTTTACTATTGCTGAAAATACTAAGTGCAAATTTAAATAGTGTTAAAATATTTAATGAAGCTTTACTTTATCCGATATCTGCGTGGGTAGACTGGTTTTTGTTCGACACATCAGCTTCAGGATTGACCGAAAGGAAAGCACTAGTTGCAGGACGACACCAGTGAATTTCTACACGGATGGGTCGAAGCTTGACGGTATGGTCGGTGGATGTTTCATTCATGCGGGCGCCAGCATCAGCCAGAGCTAGCATTAAGGAAACAATAGAATGTCTGTTAAACTGCTCGACTTTGGCAAAGGAATTTCCACCTGATAGACTCATTTGGGTACCAGACCATATTGATATTGCAGGGAATCGCGCTCCGGAGAAATTGGCCAGGAAAGGTACCTTCGAAACGCGATTACCGGGTAAAGAGTGGGTGTACTTTCTTTTTAGTAAGCTTATGGGGAGGATAATAGAGTATTGGTTCTCACGCGATGGAGCTAAATAACACAATAAATAGTCACTGCTTACAAAACAATGAGATGGAATCAAAACTTTGTCAAAAGCTGCCTAGATTTTTTGAGGCTACGAAAAATATTTACTAAAGTACAAAATAAGTTGTTCCTTACAGTAATGCATCATTTTTATCTTAAAAGTTGACGCTATTGTGAAGTTATAATAACAACCAAAAATATTTGATTTTCTTGGCCATAACTAAAATTTTGATTTAATTTTTTTAATTTTTTTAGTTTTATTTTTTTTTTTGGCCATTTAGCCTTTTCTCTGAAAAAGTTCTGGCAACACTGCTAATAAACTTTAAATTATCAGATAATGTTTTGCTACCCTAGAACCCTATAGCATTCAATAGCGTCTCCTTCGGGGTATTCTTGAAGGGGTTGAGCTCGTCTTTTTAAGCGCCGGCACTTCTCTGTAGTATTGATGTGGGCGCTTGTGTTGCTGATCTACCCAGTTTTTATCTCTGGTAGATGTCTAAATTCGATGAGTGAAATATTCGAGAAGGCATTGGATATTATTGGTAAAATTTTGATTTGTCATTCTGCCCATTCCACCCAAGTAAGGAAATATGAAGCTGGCTCCTAAACCATTTTCTATAAGTAAAGCGTTGTGAACCATACCCACGGAGTCACTAGCTATAGCTTTAAAAGCAGATCATAAAAGCTTGTCAAGTTTATCTCTTCTCCTCGAAGAAATGAATCTAGCGGTTTGCATTGTATACTAGTTTTCTTGGCTTTAACGGTAGGCCCGCTGTTACAGCACAATTTGGAGACTACTTTTCGAGACAATGTCCTCTGCGTAGGCCAGAACATTTAAGCCCTTTTCAACAACAAGACAGGGTTATTACTTTACCAAGATTAACCATACTAGGGAGGAGATCATTCAAATCTGTAAGCATCCTTTCGTAGCTGCGGAAAATCTGTTCTAAAGTGGGTGCGATAACTTTAAGTGTGATTGCTATTCAGCGGTGTTCCGTATTTCTCTTTCGCCCGGAAAGTGCCATGAAAACTTAAAGTTTCGTCTTATTTGAGTTTGAAAAATACATATTCCTCAGCTTATTGAAATGCTCTACTAAATTAAATCAAAAGCAAGTTAATTGGAAACTGATATAGCCTAAATACATATATATACGTACATAACTTTTCGTCATGCTAGCATTGTTCTACAGCTGAAATGCATCTTTCACTAAGTCATACGCACACAGCCACACACAAACTGGCACACATTGTTTACCTGAAGTTGCCAAGTTGGCGGCGACAAGTGTTTTGTGTGGTGACAAAAATAACGCAAGACAAGCAATGTATGTATGTACATAGTATATATATGTATCCATGACTATATGACAACTTTTTGTTCTAAGCTTTTCTTTGTAAAAATAAAAAACAAAACACTTGGTGTCAAAACTGTCGCCTCTATTAAGGAACTTGCATTCACTTTTGTACATACATACGAAACATAGTAGAAAGTGCTACATACAATGCTCAAGTACTCATATGACGTTCATTGTCGGCATCACTTTCGGTCGGTATGTCGTTATCAACCGCCATTGTGCGTCGAGTAGAAGGTGAACCAGAAGATGCACAAAAGGCGAAGACGTATAAAAAAAGTTTATTGTCTACGTCCCAGCACTAAATTAAAAATGGAAGCAAACTAGCTCACGTATGTACATTAGGCATATGACTTTTTTACATACATATCTTTGGCATTTTATTAAAACAACTTAAGTGACTTTAGAAGGTTTTACTTTGAATGAAAAAATAAAATTTTCCGCATGAAAAATTTAATGTTTTTATTACGTTACACCTGGGGCTAGTTAATCGTTGAAATATTGTTTGTTAACCCAATGAATTATTGCTTTAAAGGGAAAATAGCTTATCTCGAGATAAGCTGCTTTAGTAAAATGCCACAGATATGTACATAATGCTTCAAATTTCGATCCAAATTTTAAACTTTTTTCTCAGAAGTGTAAAATTTTTTTAAGTATACAGTTTTATAGCCCTTTCAATTTTAGTGCAATAATGTGCCCAAAAACTACTGTTGATTTTTTAGATTTTTTTTTGCGAAAGGTATTGCGGTTTTCTTCCATATGAAAAAAAATTGGGTTTATTCGTTATATGGAAACAAATACGAAAGAAAAATTCTTAAAAATCAACGGTAATTATAAATCCTTGAAACAACTTAATTATTGCACTAAAATTGAAAACGCTATAAAATTGCATACATAAAAAATCTAACATTGCTGAAAAAAATTTGGAATTTGTATAGAAATTTGTTGTTTTTTTTTGCTATAAAGTTGTTAACTTGGGTTTTGTTAGAGAATCAAGTGTATTTTAATTAGCAATTCTCAAAATTAAATAAATTAACATGAGTGGTAAACAATATCACTTTAAAATGGGGTGTGGTTGATATCACCAATATTGTAAACGAGCAAATCTCAAGCCAGAAAAGAAAAACGCTAAAGCATTCCTCTTGCATATATTTCAATCAATGCAGTTCCACAAATGAGTACAATAAAAAATAAATCAGTATTTGAACCATTTTCACCTTAAAACGTTTTTTAGGCGAAAAAGTACCGACGTTATTCATTTTTTCATTCTCACTTGAAAAAATCATAATTGTTTTTTTTTTATAACTTTAGGAAGTTTTCAAATAGAATACTCATATTAGAGGCAATGGACGTTGGCATCAAATACAACATATCTCTGAAGTATAGGTTTACAAAAAAAAGTTTCTGCATATTGAAGCAAACCTCTATATTCCGAGGTCTGTTAGCCCCCATACGACACGTTTTTGTCGAAAATTTTACACTTTTTTCTAGACGTTTTTGTACCAAATTTTGGCAAAAACGTTATTTTTGTTGGTTTTTCATCATTTCTCATCCACTCCTCACAGGTATGTTTAATAAAAAAAATGTCATATGCCTAATGTGCATAAGTTGGCATGTAGGAGTGTGCATGTAAACGCTTCACTTACGAGTTGCAGTTAATAGATGTGTGTACAAAAAACTAGTTCTATATTTCTTAGTTTTTTTTAGGAACTGTGTTGGTTAACCAGTGGCCTTGCGCCTGAGCCACGGAAATGATACAAGAAATATACTTTTTCATAAGGCAAGCGTTTTGTTGCACTCTTATTTTTTTTTAACTTTCTTCGAGGCTGTTAAGCGTAGAATTGCTGCAAAATAAATAAATTAGCTCGACGATATTATTTATAAGTAGAAACAACCTGGCGTGCCTCATTGCGCCTTAAACGTATTTTTGCGTTGTTTGATACCCGTATTGTAATATTTCATTTATTTTATTAATTTAATTGAATAACATTTTTCAAACAGATGGCAACCCCGCTCAAACATATTTCCGGCGGTAAACTTTCCTAAACCTCTTCAGTTTGTTACTCATATTGCAATATTCAATTTTTCTTATCAATTAAATAAATAAATTTTTTCAAACAGGTGGCAACTTTAAAAACATATATTTTCCTCAGTAAGCCTTTTCGACAGCCATATTGCAATATTTACTTCATTTATCGAAACTGGAATTTTCTAACATGTGGCAACTCTGTAACTTGTTTTCTTTTTTATATTTTAAGTTAGACCTCTAGCAATACATCGGTGAAAACTGCACTGAATAATAATAAAGTTAAATTAAAAAAAAAAATATTTGTGAAAAATGGCGTGTGAAGGAGGCTGCGTTACCGTGATTGAAAAAAATATTAGAAAACGTGAGAATGCGTGACTTACAAAGCCACCATCGTGAGTGAGTTTTCCTAAAATTTTACATAAGAATTTATATACAAATTTCCCAGGTCCAAAAATTTTCTATTTCTGTAAACGTGTGTTATTGTCTAATAACCTAATTAAATTTTACCGCACTAAAGCCAAAGGTGCCGCACAAAAAAGTCCTTCCTTCTCCATGATCCGTTACCTACAGACGCTTTCTAAAATGTCCAGCAACATTCACTGGAAATCACCTCTAGCAACATAAGCGTATTATCCCCTCTTCCTACTTCACTTAGCTCCNAAAAAAGAGAAATTTGTAATGGATACTCCCTTCTATCGAATCTAAAGCTAACCACAATATTCGAATACAAGAATTTTAATTGGATGAGCTACGAAGTATCTAAAATGTTGCAACTTCAAAATAAGTTAAATTTTCTTTTCTTACTTTCTGTTTACTTTGAGACTGTGAGGTATTTTTTTTTACTCTCTAAGCCCTCGATACATCTTTCTACCACACATATGTATTTATGTACATATGTACTTATTTGTGGACTTTTCATGCAAAATACAATGCCAATAGTGAGGCAGCTAAAAAAAAAAAAATTGTGACAGTCGCATAGAAACGAACAAACGAATTTTTGAAGGTAAATCAATTGAAGCGAAATGATTGCTTCAGTTGCTATTGTTATGCGTTAGCCAAGCGTACATAACGTAGCTGTGCATATGAATGGATATGTATGTATGCACGTGTGTGTGCACAATTGTATGTAAATAATCTTGTATAAATTTCGAAGGTAAAAAAAAAAAATGGAGACAGTATTATGGAAGGACTAGTTAGTTACATACTGAGTAAGGGCAAAAGTAAAAATTTACTAAAAAATTGTCAACTCTTATGTGATCCTGATGAAGGTTCCGTCTTTCAATGTTTGGAATGGCTCAGAAAAAAAATTTTACACATAGTAGAACTTTTCAGGGTCAATATCGATCCTATGAATACGTTTTGCTATAGATAGTGTTAATTCAATTTTCCTTCGCCCTTGGATAGTTAAAGAACGCTATAAAGATATAAGTATTCAAAGCAAGTTAAATGAGAACAATAACTAGTATCCTCTAGTTTGTAGCTTGGTTGTAACAGAGCAAGAAATATTGCGAACTAGAAGATTTTTTTTGTGTCCCTATGATATGTCTTTAACCCTGACATACTAAGGTATTATCCCCTTCCCTAAAACGTAACTAACTGCTAACAGTACCTGGGTAGATAAATTCCTAATATTAAAGGGTTCGAATGTGGATGAAGTATAGCGTCAACTTTGCTCGGACGGATTGGTTACATCATCCCGCATCTGCACTTTGGGACGAACTTCGGATCCACTATATGTAAATAGAGATTAAAGGCTGGCGTGAGGGCATGAGGAATGCTGGCTCGGTGATTTTGTATACAGACGGGTCGAAGATGGAGAAAGGCGTAGGGGCGGCAGTCGTCTGCGCGGAGCTCGGTCTCAACAAATCCTATAAGCTGCCGAGCTACAGCAGCATTTTCCCGGCGGAGCTACTGAGCAGCAACCTAGTTAATAAACAAGTGAATCTCTATCACAGTGCACCTTTTGAGGAAGTGTTGTGAAGTACTGGACAACTCTGGGTTTGGTACATACTAGTACTGATGTACATCTGTGCTGTGCTCCAGGGCACAACGGCGTCGCGCTCAAGGAGAGGCCAACAAGCGCAAGCCAAAGAAGGCGTTCTGTTAGAAACTAAAGCGATAGAGGGCATGTCGATTTCCTTTAATCGATCCGGAAGGAGCAGAATGTGTGGACCAAAACACAAGGCTGCAAGGTGTCCAAAATTATGTTCAGAGCGTATGACATAAAGCTCTCGAAGTTTATCCTATTACTGGTGGGTGTTCTAACGGGATATTGTCGGCTGTCATCGCATTCTTTAAAACTGGCTCTGAGTAATAAAATACATACATATGTAGGAGATCGAGGATGAAACAGAAGACAGTGGAGCATATCCTCTGCGAGTGTCCTGCACTTAGCAGAATGCGGATAAGCATGCTGAGAGCAGTCCTTCTGCCTAATCTGAAGTACAAGATGAGGAACAACTAGGTGTTCCACTTTGCCAAGAGAACTACGATGTTCCTTAACATTTCGTCTGTGTGGTCCAGTCATCTGGTTCTTGTGAGAGTGCATGTGTTTATGACCGGCTAATTAATCTGTGAAAAACCTGATGTTGGCTCTATTCTAGCACAAGGTTATCCAAAGAGTCAGGCCTGTCCAAGGTTCCCGACGATCCTCAGTGCTAATTGTCCTCTAAGGTTAACCACTCTCTACAAATTTTATAAAAAATTAACAAATATTTATTAAACAAAAGAAATATAGCAAAACTGGGCAAAGCAAGGCGTTTCCATTATTTTGGCCATAGCGTTACATATAAATTTCTCATGCCAGAAACCCGTCTTAGCTGTGAAAAAGTTGAGAATCTTCCATTCAAGCTCTTCAAGGGAGCCCATTTCCTTTTGGCCTGTATGTTAAACCTCCCTATGATACGCCAGCTTCCGTTTCAATTCAATCTAACTTCCGCAATGACCTTTGGTTGTGCTAATCCGTGAACAATACGCTTTACTGTCGACTATGTAGTACTTTGTATGTATGTATGTATATAGCATACTTATGCATACTAAAGTAATCTCCATCCATGCAGTCGTTCAAATTTTTTCAGGAATTTTGTAGCAATTTTGAACATACATATACATATGTATTTATGTAGGATAAGCACTTGAGTATTTGGGTTCGAATGCGAGTATATATACATGAAAATGTATGAGTGTGTACA